ATTGTACGTGGTTGAGAGGACACCACTGCATTTCTCATTTTGTCACACTCTTTTCAGAGAGTTGCAATTGTACCATTCACCCGACGATAGATGACTATAATTTAATTTAAAAAAAAGCAAAATAATGGAATCTTAATCACAGGCTAGCAGACAGATCCATCTCACATTAAGGATCAAATTCTGTGTTAAATTATTTTTAATAACATTTTAATTTGCACGTTTTATGTTAAGATTGTACATTGTTCATGTAGGAGGTAATTGAATTCAATACTGATATCCCCAAATTATCTGAAACTATAGACCCTAACTTTAACCTATGAACATCTATATTTATTACAATCATTGTCAATTTTAAACTTCTCGTATATACCTGTATATTAGGTGCACTGCCAAATTTGACAGATATAGCTTAAGCACTGATTTGGACGCGATGGGCACGAATTACGACAAACTGCTTGACAGGTTGAAACTTGACGGTGAGTAAGCCTCAGTTTCATTTAATTCCAGGAACAGAGCTATGCAGGGCCAATTTTGGCACAACTGCAGAATTTCAAGAGCTGCCCCAGAGTGCAACTTTGATGATCATTTTCTCAGGTCTTCTGGTTTTGTTCATTTTTTTAAATAGAAAATCCCTGTAAATCGTGTTTGCTGTTAGTTTCTAATTTAAGGGGAATTTTTAGTGCTCTGTAGAAAACCTTATAACCCTAAATGAATCGTCGTGTGCCCGGCAAAAGGTCGTAAGCGCTTACGACCTGCTTCCGGGCACACGAGTATTATTAGGCCGTGTCCAAAACGGGCTTCCAGAGCTACGGCTAGGTCTCTTGTCTACGCGTCTCCACGCATTTCCAATGGAGCGAAGACCTAGGCCTAGCTCTATACAACAGATTCGGATGCAGCCTGCGTATGGCCCCTTAGTACCAACTACCTTGTTAGTGTTCAGGGAGCCAACCTTTGCATTTGTAAAAATACTTACTGGTGTTCAGTGTACATGTACGTGTACCGGTACTGTAGCCATTCGATTTGCAGCTATTGCACTTAGGAAATCTGAAGAACCAGATCCCTTTCTCTTTGCAATCTGCACTTTGTCTTGTAACACCCACAACATAACAACCTGGATACTACTACTTTCGGTAGTGCTCCAAGCTATGACCAAGTTCAGTGGTAAGCTATGTACGTTAAGTGTACATGTATATTGAACATCGGTACGTGTTTCTACAAATGCACAAGTTGGCTCCAAGAACACTAACAATGCGGTTTACGCTATTATGGAAGGGGGTCATACTAATAAGAAATGGCGATCTCGTGCGCACAGGAAAAATTAGGACTATAGAGTCTTTTTCAGAGCACAAAAAACTCCACTTGGAAACTAATAGCTAACACAATTTAATGGATTTTTTTCAGAAAAACTGAACAAAGCCAGAAAACCTGAGAGAAAATGATCATCAAAGGCTCACCCCTGTACATTTTCAAGGGCCCGGTCAACTCCTTGTCGCCAGGGCCATTTGTGCGCATGCATGCATAATTATGAATTTATTAGTAAAGAGGTCTTTGGCCTTCAGTCACATCACGCACTATCTCATGTCTTGGAAGGTCTCGAGAATGACCTCTATATCAAAACCCGCATTGAACAATTAGGGTCGTATGTGACAGGGCAACACTTGAATATAACGAAGTCCCAAAACAGTTCCCGTGTAGACTCCTGTTGGTCAACTAGTTTATAGGTTGACACCACTTTTATGAGATGCTAAGCTTGACAGATCATCCGTCTCAGAACCTTTGAGTACCGATCGTTCACACAAGTTATCACTGTTTTTAGTGTCTTTAGGTACTGTACACAAGGTATAGGGACCCTTAAATCTCCCACTATTTTAACCATTTTGCAGGTTTTCAATAACCCTTTTGGTTATTGTATTTGTAATTTGTAAGCATGGTATTACTTCTCTATTCGTATTTTGTAGGGGACTACGTGGGGCTTTTCATCTTTTCAAAGTACGAAATAGGTGGCCCCAACACAGTGAAGACGGCGTTTCTCTCCTGGATTGGACAGCATACGCCTGAGACGTTCAAGTCAAACATGAGAGCTGCTCGGGACAAAGTAGATGACGCTATGGGGGTAAGGGACTGATGGGGGGGGGAGTGGTTAGGAACTGTTACGAACGGCTCTTGTTTTCTCCAAATAGCACTGTTAACATTATTCAGCGAGCGATAAGGCTTGGGAGTCCAGATTTACATGCTTCTGTACTTTGACCCCGATAAATTTATTCAGCCATTAAATAACTGGGAAATATATGAAGATTCCTTCACTAATTTTTCATCTGGAATTTTCCCCGGCGGGTTTTTACATTTGACTCAAGATCAATTTGGCAAAATTTTGAAGCGGAAGTATTCAGTTGACAAACAGCATGCTCTGTAGTTTTATGTTCACGAAGTAAAAAAAAAGTCTCCTCGTGAGCAGGGCTTAAGGGGCACCATGCAAATTCCCCAAGAGTAGGACACACGAGTAAATGAACGATGTTAAAAAGAACACAATGCGCGCTGCCTTGTCTAAGGCAGTTGTCGAAGATAGATAATCGGGCCCCAGACAAACAAATTCCATGGTTTCCATTTCTTTTTCAGACTCCAGATTCGTACTCGAAAGAAGTCTCCACTTTGGCTGAAGTACAGTACGACGTCATTGTGAAGGAGATTTCCGAATCTTCTTAATCCATTATGGAAGACACAAAGTACTGGAAACTGATGGAACGGATTGAAATGGCCCTTCATTGATTCCTAGATAATATTGGTCCATGTATAGGCCAATACAGTTAACGGTGACGGGGTAATGATTTGGGTAACGATCTTGCACGAGGTAAACTAGAGATTAATGTTTGGGAGTGAGTTCATCCAAGTGTTCGGAATGTCATTGAATGGGTTTAACGGAGTAGACTTCATTAAGAGCAGTTTGTTGCACTATGTAGAACCTGTGATGTGTATGAAACATCAACAACTGCGGTCGTTTCTTGCAGCTGCCGCTTCCACGTACTTCCAAGGCATTTTCTCTCCCATTCATTTTCCGAGGGTCTAATTTTTTCTACAAAATCCCCCCCACTCAGTATGACCTTAACCCTACAAGATAGAGCTGGGGGCGGAGTCCACCCCCTTGACATTTTCCGATGCCGCCGCGTTGCATTTTTTGTCAGGAGTTGAGCCTTTATGAGTTTTAGAGTATCCCTTTGCGGTCATTTTGACACCCAATCGTGCGAAAATCGAACATCCTACTCTTACGCAGCGCCTATTTTTCAGAGACAGGTCAACCAAAATACTTCTTCCACTGCAGTGCATGCGCACTGCACAGGCAGGCACAAATGTAGCCTTGAACCTCAGATGACCGTCACGACAAAACCATACGTCCGACTGAGTTCTCCAAGGCAAAATAGAGCAATTTAGGGCCCCATTTGGTCCAATACTTTCAGAAATACAAGCTGACAGTCCTGCCCCTGGATTTCATTCACTTTTTTAACAAACCACCCAGTCCACGTGCCACGAAAGGCTCTAATAGCAGAGAATTTGGCAGCCTACAAATCGTAATTCGGTCCGCGCAGGCAATTTTGGACCTATTTACTGGCCCGGCTGCAACCTTATTGGGCTGATTGTCTTATTCTGGGCAGTCTTGGTTCCAAGGCCTTCCAGTAGTTATTCCGCGACATGGGACAACACATGTACATTGTTAGAGGGCGCTATCACCACACAAATCGTTATCACAGGTACAGTAGGTCTTGGATATTTTTTGTTTTCATTTCTTATGTTTTTCATTGTTTTCCCTCGAATTTTCAAGGGAGCCAATCAACAACTTCTTTTGAGCCTCACATTGAATCATTTTTAAAAGTTCATAATGTCACTCAGCTGAGAATTGAAAACAAAAATGACGTCTTGATTTCGAGGTCCAAACATTTCCGCAGAAAATGCCGTCCCAAGGTGATTGTAACATTTAACAATAAATTGCTTTGGAAAGTTTGTGAAGTATCAACGTTGCAAAGCAATGTGTCTTGTTCACTGGCTTAATGAAAGTGTTTACATTTACGTGTAGCTGAAGACACAATTGTGTGTCGCTGTACAAGCACAACCGAGGAGTATAGGTATTGTGTTTTCTTTTGTTCCATATGGAGGCTGGTTCATACTTCAGGCGAATATGACGTCAAAAAAGATTGCAGCAAAATTTCGCTCATGTCGAAATGTTTTCAACTTTTGGAATTCACAATGCGAATATTTGACCTGTTGTCTCGCCAAACTTGAACCGGCCTTAACACCCCTCCGAAGACTACACGTGGGTACTGAGGTCTGCCACCGAGGAAAAAGTAGTGATCACCGAGGACAGGCCTTTACGGTTTAATAAGGAATCAGGAAATAGAAATATTTTTATAAATTTTACTAAAAAAACCTTGAAATTGCATCTTTGGGTTTCAGTTAACCTGATTTTCAAGTTTTGTTTTGCAATTTTATGCTAATGCATGTTCATGAGCAGAACAAGGCACTGAATCTCAATGTTGCACTGATTTGTGCACAGAATATTTCTAGATTTTTCAAAACCACAACTATGGAAAATTTAATTTTCTTTGGCAGTTTATTGCCGTGAAAATATATGGCAATAACCCAGCAAAAATCCTTTTTCACATAAATGTTCCCAGATAGCAAATTTGGGATTCACAATTTGAACATGAAAACATGCAACCTGAACCATATCTTCCTGGATTTACAAAGCAAAAGCGCCTTCACTTGTCATGAAATGTTTGGTCAATTTTTAATGTTTGAAAAAGTGCACTGTTCAGTTCACGTAACTCAAAAAAGATGTCAAACATTCTTCATACATGGAACAAGAGTACAGCGATACACAAAAAGTGATTCTAAGAAAAATGTATTTCCTGGTTTCTTTAATTTAATATGAACAGCACAAAGTACTGTTTCTGAGATGGCCGAGTGGTTAAGCGCGAGGTTATAAGGTTGTTAGGCGATGGGTTCGATTCCCAGGAGCGACTTTTTATTTTTCCGACGTTTGCTGTCTGTCAGTAGATATAAGAGACTCCAATTGACGCCTGTCAAATACCAGCAGTACCTTGGCCGACCNCCCCTTTCATTTTCCTTTCAATTTTCGGGGGGTTGACCAGTGAATGTTTGAGAAATTTTCACCAGAAGCAGACCACCTCTAAAATGAAGAAAATGTCCCTGCCCAGAAAAGTGGCCATTTTGAAAAACCATCCCTCGGGAAAATGGCCAAATAGTGCCACTTTCGGACCCGACTGCACCCAAATTGCTCATAATTGCAAGACCAAAGTCTGGGTTGGAGGTCCAGTGCCATATTTCTCCAATTCCTCGATTTCATGGCTCTCAGGACTCACTAATATAGAATATTTTGAGTTTATAACTTTTATTAATGAGCTTGGCGGACAAATCTTGGCCTTGTTTGCAAGGGTGCACCCTCAGACGTGTACGTCCGGACGTACGTGTAGTCCTGGAACTCTGTCGTATTGATGCGCGCATTTAATTTACCAAGGAGAAGCTGTCAGGGAGATTTGTGCGCAGGCACCTTGTTCATTTTGCTACACGATGCACTATTGTAGCGTTGTAATCACTCAGTCTTTGCAGAGCAAAATTCTCTGGGTATAACTTGGTTAACAGTTTTGTTATCTACGTAAATATGAACAGCCAAAAGCAATTCCCTGAAATTGCCAAATGGTTAAGCTGGTGGTTATCTGATCGTCAGACGGTGGGTTCGAATCCCACTGGTGACTTTTATTTCCCCAAAGCGTGCTGTCAGTCAGTAGCTATAAGAGACTCTAATTTACCCCCGCCAAATACCCACAGTGCCTTAGCCCACGGGGTAAGCTCTTCTGCTGGGACTGTCCGCGAAGTCCAGGTGAGCGCCTTAGTACAGGGCTTAGGGGCTTGTCTCGTTTCCTCCCTTGCATGGTCGCTCGAACTCTTTTTGGAGTTAAATGGATGGGCAGGGAGGAAGTGTGGTGGGCCGGGAACTCCGAGATCCCAGAAGAGTCCTATATGGAAGCCGGTAACTGCGATTCCTAGCGAATTTCGGGAGTCCGTGCGCCTGAATGCTTGGTCAACACCGCATAACTTTTGGATTTTTCCCTCAGCACATTTTTTTCATGTCCCTTGACGCAGAACCCACAAGGCAATTTTCTGGGTTTGAATACAGTGAGCTACAGGATTGATGCTGATTTAGTTTCATTTCCGAACGTTTCGACCGTGAAACCGATCCCAACCGTCCTGGGTCCATTTCTTCTCAGTAATCTCAGTATAAAAGCTGTCAGGCGTATAATGTTTATTATCGGAGATTCAATAGTAAGAGATCCAGGGGTTGCACAGTCGGGCGGCACTCGCCTTCCTATTTTATTGATGGAAATACTTTTTCATTTGTTATTACAACAAATTTCGTTCGCTTTCAACTGCAGAGTAATTTGACATTTTCACAGAAAAATTCTCACACAAAAGAGACGTCCCATATCATCTTGGGTTACCCTCAAAAGTTGCAACAAATGCGTTGCATCTGCCGCTCCTTCTCTTGTGAATGGTTAATCCATCACTTACTCTAGTAAGACAGGTCTTCCCGAAAAATACAAGCAGGAAAATAAGGAAATGAACTCCAACGAAAGGAGCATTCCCTAGTTTATTGGTATTAGCTTTTGGTTTTACCCCATAGTCGCCTGAAAAGGCGCATAGGCCATCTTGTCCCCTCCACCGGTAACGCACGTCAGACTTAATTTTGATCAGGCTGACTGAAACGTAATGTTGTCATTTTAACTTAATCCGTGCCTCATTGGCCATAAGTTTAACATCGGAATTCGGAGTTGTAGCTCCCTTTTCAAACTGAATACTTCCAAAATGCACCTATTATTTCAAACAGGTTTGTATGTTGTGGGTAGTTCAGTAATAACGCCTCCTAGGGGGATGAGGGCATAAACCAGACCCCTCCCCCCCCAAAGTAATTCGGCAAACACGACTGACATACAAGAAAATGTCAAAGTGATCATAATCATAATATTTAGCTCCTGAATGTCACACACAGAGGACGGTACACGCAAGTGATATGTAACCCGAAACTGGAGGGCGCTATTTCAAATTAAAATAGGAGAAGCACAGTCGTAATAGGACGCATTTCTTCACCAAATGGTTGGATTTCTGCGCTCGAGCTCATAAATAATTTGTGATCCCTCGGGGTTTTTACAATAAAACATGCCATAATCAGGAGGGATCATAGAAATATTTCTACAAATCCCAAATTTTGGACCGGTAGTTTCGAGGTCGGGGTATTTCTTGTACAGCAAGGCCCCAAATTGCCGGCCTATTTTGGATGGAGGGGGCGGATACCTTCAGAGTTGAGCGCATAGTTTTACTACTATTTTGGGAGTGTCTTCGAGGAAAGGCGAATAAAAAAGTTTTTTTCGCTGCTAACCCCCCATCACATTGAAACGAAAAGTGATCTTCTGGCCTTAATCTTGAATTTCCAGTGAATAAACGGAGGCCAAACTCTTCACGAGAGTCAACAGGCGCGCCATCGGTCTGATTTTGCACTGTTTTCTATGGGTGCGTAATTGGCGTAGTACTAGTGCAACCACAAACGCATAGGCCACCAGGTCCTATTTAATTAACCACACTGGTACATCCCCGTTTCCCTTTACTTCTTCAGTGGACGACATCCCACGTTTTACTTGGCTCGCTCCGGCCAGATGTAGAGCGCAAGTGCTGACTCCTGATGATGATATTACTTGGGGAGTTACTTCCAGGCTATGCATTCAACGAAAACAATGGGTCATTTCAATAAAACAAAGATTTGGGAAGTTTTGTGATATAACCGCACTATTTCCTGCTATTATTGTTTTTAGCACTTCAACATAATTCTGTAATATCTTTAACATGTTAAGATGATGAATCTTGGGTGCACAGCTCCTCGGACGTAAGTGTTCAGTCCCTGATGTCAAGGACCGGAAATAAGTACACAACCTTTGGACACCCTTTGCAAACGTGGAGGACAGTAATAAGTTCATGGTTGAATGTGTTTTCAAGTGATGGGGGGGGGCTCACGTATATTCTGCCACTTTTTCATTTGCCGTGGCAAAGAAGGATTTTCCTGTATAGACATTATTCCATTAAATATGAAAGAAATACTCATCAATCACCAAGCTTGTTGAAAGCTTTTGTGTATGGAAAATGGACAGTACACTATTAACGTTCTGGTTCTGGCTCCCGGCCTTCAAGTCATTTCATCAATGAGTATGACACCTATCCACGATCAAGGATTCCCCGAGGAGACACCAAAGTTTCTTTTGTATGTTGAAAATTAATTTTTAGTTTGTGTGCAAGGACGTGTGGTTCAAAGTCCTCAGAGAGGTATTGTAACAAATTTCAATACCTACACATAACAGTGGAGCCTTTGTTGGTGAAAAAGGGGAATTTTGTTTTGTTAACAAGCTTTTTTTCTATGGCCATAGGGCCTACATCGCGAAGTCTCCGTGGAGGTTAGGTCGCATAATCCTTTCCCTGTCAGCTTTACAGTGCACGTCAGTCAAAAAGCCACACACAGGACAGTTGCACAGTGAAAACAAGCATGGACGTTAATCCTTGGCAATGTGGTATACCCCCCACACGCATACACTTTTTGAAGTGAGCAACAAATTAAAGTCAGTTGTGAAGATTTTTTGTTAGATTTCGAACAACTGAATTGCATGCAATATCACTAGAAAAGACAAAACAACTTCAAACAGCCATAAATATATCATTTTGAATAAGGGAATAAAATGTGCTTGGCCAGGCTTATTAAACGTTTGCTTTAGACTGGCTCAGGAGAAGGGACGTGACTAATGCTCAAACTGCAGGCTAGTCTGGATACCAGACCCGATGATTCTGACTACTCTACGAATCAAGGGGCCTATTATCACCCAAAGTCCACATGACCAAGACTGGGGGAATTCCTCCAGTTTTCCGGAAATAGCCGAACTTTTCAGAAGTCGTCCCGTCTATA